TTTGGTATTGCTGCAGCCTGGTAGTATCTGTCAACTGGTCTTGACGTTTTATGTCCCCTAGTGGCTCAGACTGCATGTTTCATGATAGATGAGAGACTCAAATACACATCTTAACCATAGTCAATAATCACTCAACCCCTAACACACACTGACACACACAATATGGTTAGATGATAATGATGATGGGCCCCATGTGTAACATGTTGCCAACATGCAACCGCATATGGTTCCTTGTATGTGTACGTGTTTACATGGTTACCAGTGTCTGTGTGTGTTAGAAGATACCACACAGAGCTGTGACTAAAGGAGCAAAATACAGACATTTCACACACACACACACAGCAGTTTTTCAGCTCATTAGGCAGAGGGTTGCGTGTCTAATCAGGTTTTGTGTGGACGGTGCAGGGTCATTATGATCTAATTTACCTTTAGTGGTTATTCAGCTGGGCAGAAAGGGAGGGAAGAGGAAGGAGGAGGAGGGAGGGAAGATGGTCCAGATCTGAGTGGAACAGAATGTTTGTTCTTCACACTAATAAGAAAGCATAATTCCTGTGTAACACTATGGATTCAATAACTAGGCAGTTTGAGCTGCAGTGTGAACTATGATGTATATTTTGTTTTCTATGATTTATTGAAGCAAGTTGATGTTCTCACTGTAGATCAACATTAAATTAAAGTTTAATTTAATTTCAGTTTATTTTCAATTTTGGCTGTACATAATTGAATTGTTTCATCATTGTCTATTAAGTTGTTGTTGTTGTTGAAGATAAAGACATGAAATTAATAATAGAGAGATTTATTTTATCCTTGAGGCACTACCTGTAGCAACTGCATTTCTTTACAAGTCAATCTAATACTATTCAGTTTCTTATATTCTGCAGAAGAAATACTAAAAAGGACTGCATCATAAATTATACACTAAAATTATACACAAAACTATATTGTATAATAAATGGAAGAGGAATGTGGATATGAAATGAAATCAGATCAGATATCAGAAATTAGACAAGAGTTATAGATGAAATGTAATGAATTAAATAAATAAATACATAAAAATAATAATAATAATAATAATAATAAATGTAAATGTTTGAGTGATATTACAATGTAGGGGTCAGTTATAGCTGATTATTGAACTTAGATCATTAGACTGCATTAAAATAAATAGTGAAGGCTGCAGTAATGAATATAACGTCTCTCAAAGATACAAACTCGTGGATAATTATCATCTGTAGTTCCTTTCAGCTCTATGAAGCATTTTAGCAACTTTCAGCTCATTGTTTTGGTTTTAAGGCACTCTCTCATCTACCTCATTTGTGGCTGCAGCAACAAGCAGCCGATTTCATTGATAACGCTTGGATTAAGTCACAATGTACTACCTGCCAAGCACCAAACTGCAGACAAGGTTGGGGACTAGCTGGTGAACAGAGACATACATATTTTTTGCCTGCCATCAAAGTCAGGTGACGTAGTATAAGGAGAGAGAAAGTCCACGTATGGAGGTGGTAGGGTGGAAGGATGACTCAAATAAACACAGGAGGCCGCTGTTTGTGTCCTGAAAACAAAAGTCAACAATTTCTTCCTTTACTAAATCTAACCAAGTAGTTTTCACCTTATTTTGTAAACCGACATTACATATTTATTGTTACTATCTTGACTGGAAGTTGAGGACGCTACATATATTTTAGCTAACTTGACCAGAAGTTGAGAAATGTCCAGAAATGACACTAGAGGGATACCTACAGTCTCATATTTTGAAGCAAAGGGCCATTGACCAAGCTGCAGTACTTGACAATTTGGGAGTGAGAACATGCTTGCTGCACAGGTGATACTTTGCTAACATGTTAGCAATGTTGACTTTATAAGGCCATAGTATGTCATGGAGGTTTAAAGTAACAATTAACTACACAAAACCTAACTAAAACAAAAAGTGAAAAAAACACCCAAAAAAAATTAAAGAGAACTTTATTTTATAACAATGAAAGTATTCTTTCGTTAAGCTAGGCTAACCACATCTTGGACCACAGATATAGACGACTGCTGGGCACAATGACATGTAAATAAAATGAATCTTCCAAACTGACATTTCAGTATGTAGTGTTGGATAGGGAAAATGTCTGTCAGTTATATTACTGTAATAGTGGGCAATTCGTCCAAATTAAATCCTATGTCTTCTTCTTTCTAAATGTCAATGTCATGTAGGGGCCAACTGGCCCTAACTTTGGACCCCAGGAGCTGGTGAAATTCTAAGCTGTTCTCTGGTGCAGGAACATGTATACATGGAGGTCCACTTCCTTTGTTCAAGCGTGTTAAATGGGTTAAAGAGTGGTGTCCAGAAGCAGCAGTGTGCGTCCTGCTCAGCGTGCAGGGATAAAGCCTCCATATGGCACTGGTCAGTCAGCTCCAGCACCCAGCCAGGAGGGCCGACCACCTGTCAATCAAACAGGGCTCACACAACAATAGGAAGGAATAACTCCTCTCACCCCATACACACACACACACACACAAACACACGCACAGTCATGTTTACTTGGGACACTTTTGGGGACATCAGACCTAAATTCATTTCCTGGACCCTAACCCTAACTACAACTTGTCTAACCCTAACCTTTAACCACTGCCCAAAAAATCTATTTTTTTCAAATTGGGGACACAGCTTTTGTCCCCAATTGGACAAGCTGTCACAAATCAATTAACTGGTCTTTAGTCTCAAATCTGTGCCTGAAGGTAGCCTAAGTCAGACCAGAGGACAAGCTTAGACATATCTATCACATTTCTTTAGGGACAAGCTGCAAGACAAATTCAACCTACCTAACATGCATCCCAGTTTATTTAGTTAATAGCTATATAAATCTCTACCAATCCCACTTGAATCACCCTTCATTACATGCAAAACTCCAGCCTCTCAGCACTGAGAAATTCAAATAGACAACCACAGCCATGCTTTCAGGCTGTGTACATTCTTAGGTCCTGATTCATGCACCTAGTTTGGAGCATTTTGACCAAACATAAATTGGTTCCCAGCTGGAACAGGTCGCTTGGATGCAGGTTTTCCTTGCACAAACAAAAGGGGGCATGTCTTATTCTACAGGTTGTTGTGCATTGTGCAGTGCCCTCTATGGAGGCAGCATCCGATTACAGTGGTTCCACTAAAAACTGCTGGAAACACGGACTGGTTCTTTAGGTAGCACCAAGGTTACATGCATCTTGTACTGAACTGGTTCAAGTACCAGAACTAATTTGGTAGAAAAGGGAGTCTTGACCTCAGCATTTACAAGGACATCATCCTTCTTCTTACTCTGAGACCTGTCAGCCATCACACCATATCATCTTATAAGAAGTTCATACTTATCTCTATAATAATAGTAAAAAAAAGTTATCCTACTCAGCTGGAAAAAGATAAACAAGCCTCAATTCCACAGTGACTAAAACTCTTAACAGATCACTCTAATATGAAACCTTCTTCAATGAAAGACAAGATTGAATTGTTGTTTTATAAAACGTGGCTGGCATTTAATAACTTCATAAAGGAGAGCTGTAACCTCCGCCTACCATTATATGAAGGGCACACACACATCCCTATGCCCAGGGAAACCAGTGATGTGACTCAAGTAATTTAGTTCAAGTCTCAAGAAAGACCTATGTCCTTGTTTTTTTTCTTGGTCAAGCCAAGTCACAGGTTAAGTCAAGTATGTTAAGTCGAATCCTTGGCTATAGCAAGTCAAGTTACTTCTCTCTCCAAGATAATGCAGTCTTACTTGCGGGATCCAGCCTTTATAAAGAGAAAAGACAAGGTATTATTACCTGTCTAATAATAATATTATCAGCAATTAACTGAACTTTTATTATATTCAGTAAAATAAATGTAATCAAACCACAGCGTTGCCACAACATAAAACTGAATAGTGAATTAGATGACACTCAGAAATGTGATCAACATTGAAATGTAGAGATTTAGATTAAATGATGATGATGACCTGATTGGCGTCAAATGGCTCTTCATTTAGTACCACTTTTGGCTTTTATAATTCAGCAAATGTTAGCAATGTTTTGACCTATGATTGGTATATGTGCACATACAGCACATGTATAGGATGCAGTGGCATCTAGTGGTGAAGTTGAAGATTGAAACTAACAAACTGAACACTGCTCGCATCTGTATTTGATGACCTGGGAATGGTCATGGCTGTGAAGTGTATAGGAGGAACTATGGTGGCCGCCACTTGCAAAAACGTGAAAGACAAAAGTGTTGATGTTAAGTGCTTTGTTATTGTAAATGTATCAGTAAAAGCAAAATATAAAATTTAAA